TAGAATCAACTATGGTCTCCTTTCTTTGGCCACAGTTGGCACCACCTTTTCCTTTAGTCCCTATTAGAGAATATATGCAAATACTATGCTCTTAAAAAAGACCATGTGGTTAGGGGCCAACAGGTGGCAAAGCGGTTAAGGTGCTGGACTCCCCATATGGCTAAACACAGCTCAAATCTGGACCCAGCAACCTGAAAATTGTACTGGGGGCATGTTCATGTGTGCTCAAAATTCAGACAGCAGAAAGAAGGAGAAGGGACTTTGGTGTGGCTATTCCACTGTGGGGGGGGTGATTTCTTACTTTCCCTCCGTCTGTCTCTCTCCCACAAGCACAAGTGTCCTATAGCAAAAACCTAAAAATTAAAATAAAAGTGCATGTTGCTAAAATAATACAAAGTTGATGTTCCACAAGATTATCAAACAATGTTAAATCAATAGCTGAGAAACAGAATTGCCACAGGTTTGGGACATTCAATACATACACATTCCGATAAATTCCTCTATTACAGAAGGAAATCTCAGGTGCACTGCCTTTTAGAAGGTATTGCAGTTTCCTTGTATCACTACTGAAATACTTGACCAAAGAAGTCAAGAGGTCTCAGCATAGAAATTAAGTCCCAATGATGATATCAAGACCTCTCCTTATGAAGAAATATATGTCTAAAACCCAGATTGCTTCAGGAGTGGTGACCAGCAATGGATGCAAGCAAGTATATCATTTATTACATTGTCTGCTGGCATATCTGGGGATCTTTCCTTACCAATAATTTTAGGTACGTAAAGTGCAGCAAGTGGCATGGTGGTTAAGGGGCTAGACCTTCACATGGTCGACCAAGGTCCATGTCCCAAGCTAGATAACTTGAAAAATCATGCCAAGCACATATGTGTATGTGCCCAAGGTCTTGAGAGGAGAATGGAGAGAAGGGACTACAGCATGGCCATCACCCCTGGAGAATGATTTCTCACTTTCCCTCTTCTGTTCTCTCCTCTCTCTCTCTGATGAGTGCACACACTCATGCCAAAAATATTTTTTTAAAAAACGCATGTTATGTTACAGATTCCCAATTTATTGAATTTTTCTTAATAGACAAAGCTATTAAGTATGACAAAGTACAAAAACAAAATTTCATAAATCTTACCTCTACCTTACTCCAGCCAATATCCTAGATGACGTTAATGTCCATAAACATTGGTTATCAAAAACTCCACCCAAAGATTCTTAAATTACCTCAAGTCTAATTATATTCACTTTAACTCTACTTAAGTCACCCACCTTACATCCAGTGTCATCAAATGCTGCTTGTCACTAACACCTTTACATTGATATCCTTTCTGAGGATCTTAATGTACTATTCTCAGAATATTATATTATGAATGATTACATATTATAGGTACTATTATAGATTTCAATATTAATGTAATATTAATAGAATATTGCAATATGGAAACCTCCACTCCTTCCACCTTTCTTACACATTTTAATCCGTTTCTATTTTAAACTCATTGGCAATATAGTCAGTGGTTAACCATGTGGGCTCTTAAATCAGTTTGGTAGGATCCACATCCTGAGTCGGCCACTTCCTAGCTGTGTAAACTTGGGCACATCCTCAATTTCCTCGTCTACAGAATATAGAACTATCTTCAACCAAGCAGATACCAGAAACTGCCTAGCATATTCATCATGGAGATAAACAGTGATCATCCGGAAGAGTTAGTACAGTCTAAGTGTGATGTGACACATAGTAGGTACTAAATAATTATAGCTATTTTTTTACTAAGCTCACTAATATTCTTCAATTTTCTTACACATCTAGACTGAAATCTGTGCTTCATTATTTTCTCTTCCCCACACTAGTTACTTATAAATTTGGCCAACTAACTGCTCTGCTCCATACCAAGCCTGCTGTAAACTGATGGAAAAATATGTATAACTCTGGAAATTAATGCAACTATATATTTCAGATCTGAGAAAGCAACTGTGTTATTGCTGTGGTTCAATAAACCATATAAATAGACAACACTATCTCTAAATATTGACATCATGGATTACAAACTTTTTTTTGAGAGAGATTTTTCTATAGGGCGTCTGCGCTCACTAGAGAGACGGAAAGTATGAAATCACACCCTAAGGGGGATAGCCATGCTGTAATCCCTTCTGCATTCTCCTCTCAGGATTTTGGGCATGTACACACACATGCCCAGAGTGGATTTCAAGTCACCAGGTCTGGCACTCCAACCACTGTCAGCCATGTGGGAGTCCAAGGCCTTAACCACTACATCACCTGCTGACCCCAGATTGCAAACTTTTACCACATTACTTAAATAGCCTATATTATACCCTTTCTGTAAGAAGGTTAAGAGATAGTCATAATTCCTCCTATTTAAGACTTTATTACCACATCAGTTATTCCTTTCTTTTCTCCTTATATTTTTACTCTCGCTTTTCACATTTCCCTGTATCCCTCCTGACATTTCCTGAGCTCAGAGCAGTAGTACGAAAGAAGGCCCATGCAAATATTTTACCATTTTAAATATTAAAAGTTATAAATCAAGATAATTGAACCTTCTGATTCCATCTAACGAGTAGTAACGGATTTGCTATCCCACCTGAAACAGTACTCCTTCCAAATATTGATGAGGAATAGAGAGATAGGGAACAAATGACATGAGTCCTGTAATTACTTATTTCTTCAGAGAGTTCTCAGACCATGACACAGGGAGGGAAAACTCAGGAGGAACCCAGTAGACATCCTGAGTTGACACAACAGAGCTCAGAGTGTGGAGATCTCAAGGCTGCTAGAGCTCTCAGGGCAGAGGATCAGAAAAGAGAGAATTTCATGGAAACAGAAACTCAAGTGTCCATAAAGAATTCCTTAAAGTATTTTGGATAGAAATTATCAGTGCATATGTGTAAGGAAACTGCCCAAGTCCGGGGTGGGGGTAGAGTGAGGGAATCATCAGTAACAATTCCTGGCACTAACACAGTGTAATGTGTCTTTCCCCATGAGCCAGACTAAGAATATTCATCATCCACAGGTAATTGGGTGGAATACTCAGGAAGGTTGTGCTTCACTAGTGAATAAAAATTAACACTGAGCACTAAACTGGCCCCAGTGAACATGCCATAAAAGAAAAACCAAAAAGGATAGAACTGGATCCAAGTAACTTAACCATATCCTGAAATAAAATTCAAGAATATTGATAGAAATACAAAATACATCCGACCATCAAAAGGTAGAATTCACCGTGTATGGTATCTAACCAAAGATTACAAAACAAGCAAGTCAAAAATAAACAAATAGGGAAACAAAAATACTTCATGAGAATAATCAGTACAATGAAATTAACCAGGAATTAATACAGGTATTAAAATTATCAGGAGACAATAACGTGGTTATATTAATTTTGTTTAGCTAAAATTAAGGCAGATATAAAACATGTTTTAAAATAAGACCCAAATCTAACTTTTAAAGGTGAAAAGTATAGTGACTGAAATGAAATAAATAAATAAATAAATTTAAAAATACTGAGTGGGATAAATGGTAGGTAGATTAGGCATTGCAGAAGAAAAAATTAGTAAACTTGAAAACACAATTATAGAAAATATTAAAAATAAAAGAGTAAAACTAAAATAAGGAAATTAAAAAGTATAAGTTAACTGTGGGACAACTTCAATCAACCTAAAATACAAGTATAAGAAAGCACATTTATAAAACACATTACCTAACATGAGACTACATATTCTTTTCTAGAGAAAACAGACCATTTTCCAAGACACACCATATGCCTCCATAAATTCAAAGGTATTCAAGTCATAAAATGTTTGTTCTCTGACCACAATAGATTCAAGTTAAAAGTCAATAAGAGAAAGATCTCTAGAAAAATTTTCAAATATTTAACATAATGTACTTTTAATTTTTTTAAGGTTTAAGCCATAGGGTGTGGGCACTTGATGGAGAGAGATAGTGGAAGACAGCGAGAGGGAAAATGAAAAATTGTCCTCCGGGGGGATAGTCTTACTGCAATCTATTCTCCTACATTCTCCTCCTGAGATTTTGGGCACGCACATACGTATAACTGGTGTGATTTATGTCACCAGGTCTGGGACTTGAACCCCAGCTGACAATGTGGGAGTCCAGTGCCTTAACCGCTATGCCACCGGCTGGCTTAAAAAATAATATACTTCTTAACAATCAATGAGTTAAAGAAGAAATAATAAGGAACCCTTAAATTTTTAAATTATTATTTGTTATAAGACGTGTGTCCTTGCTGGAGAGAAACAGAGAGACAGTGAGAAAGCATCCCGCAGAGGGATGGCCACACCACAATCCTCTCTTTTCTGATCTCTTCTCAGGATCCTGGGGATTCACATAAACAGGCCCAGCATGTCACTCAAACTGCCAGGTCCAGGACTCAAACTACACAATTTGTTATATGGGATCCAGTCACCTTAACCACTATGCCACCAGCTAGTCCTAGAAAATATTTTTAACCAAATTTTTTTAATTGTATCTGAAAACAGTAATGATAGGAAATTTTACAAAAGTTGTATAGGTTCTGGAAGTGTGACCAGAGAAAGACGGACCCTGAATTCTTAAATCCTTGAGTAAGATTTGTCCCTTTGAGGGGTAGAGTCCTTGCTTTCAGTAAACATGTGATCAACACAACAGAGTCCTCTCGAAATACAGACTCTGAGCAGGGGACCCATCTGCTTGGGTCTAAAACAGACAGACCATACATATGCTCACGTCTTCTATTTTAAAACAAAACCAAAAAGATGTATTATGCTTTCCTCTATTACTTTTCCTCTACTACTTACAGATGTCTTCAAATGATCATTTATACTCACTCACTCTATTTCCACACCATCACCACCCTCCCTCTCTTTATTTCTTGCAGTCTACCAGTAAGCTCCACCAAAATACCCAAGTTTTTCACATGAATCACCAGTGACCTCCTGATTCCCCAAAGACAAAATGACTCTTAGTAAAATACCTTACTTTGCATTTCTGCCATGCTCCACAGTGGTGATCATCCCCTGCTGATTTTCTCTCCTACTTTGGCATCCATGATAGCCAAGTTTCCTGGTTCCTGTCTTTCTTCTCCTCCCAGTCCTTATTCTTCCCAAGAACACTTTGCCTCAGGTAGTCCTTTGAATGTTAGCAATACTTAGGATTCCATTCCCAGCCCTGACATCAAGGAACCCTTCTCTGTGAAGTCACATGTATCCATGGTTTTAATTATGGTCAGGACAGTATACTCCCACATTTCTTACTCAGAAGACTTTAATCACAGCTTCATAGATACTTCTTTTCATGTCTCATGTTTTCTTTCAATTCCTCTTCATGTTGCTGTTTTAATCATCTTTCTAAAATGTTAATCTTACTCTAAAACCTTTAATGCTTTTTTATTACTGTGAGGGTAATCACTATGGCTAGCTATGGCAGTAGATACATTTTCCTTCAGTTCTTGCCTACTTTTCAGCTTCAGTTCTCACCCTTCACCTGTCCACTATGCATAACATCTCATTACTTAAGGTGTTAACCATCCCTCTGCCTAAAATACCTGTTTTTGCAGTTCACTATCTACTCAGCTCTTCAACTTTTAGGATTCTGTTTAGTCTCAGTTAAGTAAAGTTTTGTTGGACCAATATCATTCATTCTACAGCATATGAATTTAGAAAATAATAATAATGGGGCCAGTAGGTGGCATGGTGGGTAAAGGCACTGGATTCCCACATGGCCAACAGTGGTTCAAGTCACAGACCTGGCAGCTTGCTTTCTCGCTTTCTCTTTCTCCCTCTCTGTCTTTATCTGGTCAAATAAAAAAAAAAATAACAAATGGAATTAAATAAATAATTCTTTAAAAGAAAATAATAATAATAATAGCTATCTTTTATTGAGTGTTTATCTCACAGCTCAGATTTAATAATTATTACCACCATCCTATGAAGTAGATAGTACTGATCCTATGAAGTAGAAAGTACTGTTGCCCATATTCTGTGATATGAAAAAAAGAAGGCTTAAAAGTTTGACAACAGATATAGCTGAAAGACAGGCTAACAAAGACTTCTCGCTTTCTCTTTCTCCCTCTCTGTCTTTATCTGGTCAAATAAAAAAAAAATAACAAATGGAATTAAATAAATAATTCTTTAAAAGAAAATAATAATAATAATAGCTATCTTTTATTGAGTGTTTATCTCACAGCTCAGATTTAATAATTATTACCACCATCCTATGAAGTAGATAGTACTGATCCTATGAAGTAGAAAGTACTGTTGCCCATATTCTGTGATATGAAAAAAAGAAGGCTTAAAAGTTTGACAACAGATATAGCTGAAAGACAGGCTAACAAAGACTCTCTGTTGATATACAGTATACGTCTATGGCAGGGAAACTAAAACCCTGAAGAGCCAGACACAATCAATTAAATTATGACAAGCAAGTAACATAATGGCAAGGAGTTGACCAAATGCAATTTAATTATATCATACACTTATAAACAGAAAAATGAGTATAGTCCTGATGACTATTATAAATTTTCATTTTTTAATATTTGTTTTCTCAGTGACGTCTCAGTTTCAGTACAAAATAGCAAACCACTCAAGGTGTGTAGTTTGTTGAATGAGTAAATGAATGAATTCCTTTCCAGAATCCAGAGATATGTGGCGTTAATGATTGGAGTGGTGGAGTTTAAGCTTAACTCATATAAGTAATTTTTCCTAAATAAAGAAGTGGGATAAAGGCAGCAATGTCCACCCAGGCAATAAAGATCTGTGTTTCTCAAGAAAAGAAATAGAAGTTTGTCCTCATTCTTTTAGACAGCAAGTAGCATAGCATTAATTTAGAAAATCTGAGACTGGACAGAGCCACACAATAAGTCAACACTCTGCCAGGCTGGCCCTCAATGACAGTCTTGTGTTTATACCTAGAGACCTTGAATACATCAGGCATGTGTTTGCCTTTGATTTGGGAGTGGTAGGAGCTGTGGTGAATTATGGAATGGGAGCCCTGTTGGGAAAGACGATCTCTCTGTGTTTTTCTGTCTCTTGCTTGTGGAAGAAATAAATGAGTGAACCTTAAAAGAAGGGGAAGAAGAAGAAAAAAGTTGAATGGGAAGTTTTCTTGAAATGAAGTTTACTAGGCTAGTAAAATTTCTTGCAATTAGATTTTTGTATGTGCCTGTAAATTTCTAGAACAAGTTTAAGATGAATTAGTTTCATATGGAAGTTCACATCTCAACCTGATATTGAGTGAAAAGTGATATAATGTCCACCAGGAAACGTATCTGAAGTCTCCTTGTGAATGCCTGTGGAACATGAGAGAATCATTTATTCTCTTAGTTTCACAATTGCTGCATTTACAAAATAGAAGGCTAGATTACACAATCTATAAAAAAACCTTCAAATTTAATAAACTTTCAGAAGAAATTTCTGATTCTCTAGTTATAGAAAAAGCAGTTGGGAACCAGCAGTTAGCGTAATGGCTATGTCGCTGGACTCCCACGTAGTCGACCGCAGTTCACGTCCCAGACCTGGTGGCTTAAAACTCACACCGGGCGCGTGTGCGTGCGTGCCCAAGATCCCGAGAGGAGAATGGAGGAGAAGGGATTGTGGCGTGACCATCCCCCCTGGGGGGTGATTTCTCACTCTCTGTCTCTCTGTCTCTCTGTCTGGCAAGCGCACGCGCCCTATAGAAAAAAATAAATAAATAAATAAAAAGACAGAAAATGGCTTGATAACCAGAATGTATAGGGAACTCAAGCAGTTGCCTATTTTAAAAAAAATCTAATTTTAAATAGGCAAATAAGCACATTAAACAACTCTCAAAAAAAGACTAATGAATGGCCAAAAGACATATTAATGTTTAAAGCCTCTTGTCATAAGGGAAATGGAAATTAAAACCACAATGAGATACCATTTAACTGAAGTTGGGATGGCTAGGATGAAAAAAAAAAATTGGGGCAAGGTTGTGGTGAAAAGGGAACCCTCTTGCACTGTTGGTGGAAATGTAAATTATAACAGCCTCTACCAGAAAACAACCTGGAGGTTCCTCAAAAACCTATGAATATAGCTACCATATAACCCAGTAATTCCACTCCTTGGTATTTTCCCAAAAGATTTGAAAGCAGTCTGAAAAACACTTGCACATCCATGTTTATTACAGCATTTTCCATAATTGCTAAGAAATGGAATCAACGGTTTTAGTTTTGTGTTTTGTTTTGTTTTGTTTTGTTTTGTTTTGTTTTGTTTTGCTATAGGGCGCGTGCGCTTGCCAGAAAGACAGAGATAGAGAGGTAGAAAGCGAGAAATCACCCCCTAGGTGGGATGGCCATGCCGCAATCCCTTCTCCTCCATTCTCCTCTCAGGATCTTGGGCACGCACACACATGTGCCGGGTGTGAGTTTAAGCCACCGGGTCCAGGACTTGAACCACAGTTGCCTACATGGGAGTCCAGCGACATAGCTGTTACACTAACTGCTAGTCTGTAATCAACCTTAAATGTCTAAAATCTAATGACTAGGTTGAAAAACTGGCACACATATATATAGAATGTTACTCAGCCCAAAGAAACAATGATATCCGATTATTTGATTCAAAGTGGATGAACTGTTAAGTGAGCCAGACTCCAGACTTCGGGGGCAATAAAAAAAAAAAAAAACACTATATAAACCCACTCACTATGTACTGAATGTCTGTGCTGTATGGCAGAAATGCAAAGATCCAAAACTATGATTGTAGAAAGGATAAGTGTGGATACCAGGGACTAAAAAGAAGGTGAGCGGATGGTAGAGGATGACTGGATGGTAGAGGATGAGTGGGAGGGGCAAAGGGGAGAAATATTAAGAAAATAAAGAGGATTATTTTTTAAAGGATGCTTTCTCAATTCATTTAACTTGAATGGTCATTTAGGAACGTGGTGAAGACAGAGCTCAAAACTGCCATCTTCAATGTCAGTTTTATGTGTGTAAATATTTAAATAAATGAGAGAGAAAAAGAAAGAGCATATGATCAGAGCAGTAAAAAAGAAATTTTAGAAAATTAGCATATATTTAAGTTATTCCTGGAGTCTGTGGTGACTATTCCATGCAGCACCATTGCATATTGTGGTGAACAAGACCAGTTTTAAAAGCAGTACGATAAATTGTTACATTGCGGAGATTTCAGAATATACTAAAGATCAAGTGTTATATAAATGGTTATTTATGGCCTGAGATAAAATTTCCAGTAACAACCTATAAACCAATACAAGAGTATATAATGAACTCTTGACAACTAGTAATTTTAAAAAATCTTCATTAATTAAAAACTAATATTTCATGACACGTAGGATTTTTTAAAAAATTAACATTTTGAAACAGGTTTAGCAATTATTAAAATACATATTACATAGCTTTTCAACTAAATAAATTAGGCTTCTAACAGGAAAAATGGGGAATTAACTTAGGATTAGTGTTATTTCAAAGCATAAGGGTTTAGGGACCAGCAGTTAGCAAAATGGCTATGTTGCTGTACTCCCATGTAGTCCACCACGGTTCGCGTCCCAGACCCGGTGGCTTAAAACTCACGCCGGGCACGTGTGCGTGTGTGCTCAAGATCCCGAGAGGAGAATGGAGGAGAAGGAATTGTGGCGTGGCCATCCCCCCTGGGGGGGTGATTTCTCACTTTCTGTCTTTCTGTCTCTCTCTGTCTGTCTGGCAAGCGCACGCGCCCTATAGCAAAAACCTCTAAAAAAAAACAAAAACATAAAGGTTTACTATATAATATTTGACATGGGAAATAGATATTGCTATGTAAATTTTTTATTAAACAGGATAGACTGTGTTTTCATTACGTAAAATTGTCTACCTATACAAAGTTAAATTTTGATAAGATGTTCACCAACATATTGACTATAGTTATCACTGTTAGTGGGATGAGATTAAGAGAAACTTTTTATTTTTTTTTAGGTTTTTAGGTTTTTTGCTATATGGCACTTGCACTCACCAGAGAGAGACAGTGAAAGGCCATCTCCAAGAAGAATGGCCATACCACAGTCCCTTCTCTTTCTCCTCTTGAGATTTTGGACACACATACACACAAACGCCTCACATGATTTCCAAGCTGCCAGGTATGGGTCATGAACTCTGATCAGCCATGTGGATATTTAGCACTGCAACCACCATGCCAACTGCTATCCCTG